CTTTTATTTTACGTATGACTTCTCGTTCCCGTTGCAGACCGGGATCTAATTATAACTGTCTTCTGGCCTAAACCATAGAGTGGGGCAAGAGTCTAAGACATACCATAACGAGAGGCTTACACGAACGTTTTACAGTGCAGGTACTAAAGAAAAAAAACAGAGAAAACAAAGAAAAGGATCATTGAAAAAGAATCAAAATGATGATCAATTCAATTGGAATAATTCAAATGATGATGATAATGACTGTCTTATGTATTATGGTGATAGGGATTCAAGTGAAAGTGAATCTGATGATGATATTGTTCTTGATGAAAAATCTGTTGAATTAGCTTTGAGAAGTTTATCATCATCACCTGAACGTGATCATGTTAATGTACTAGAAAAAAAACCTACCACCTTATGCTGCTCAAGTGCTAGCAACAGTAGTTCGTTGTAAACAATTATGTTGCTATGTAAAAAGGGTATTTTCAATTTTATCTAATGACAAATATATTTTTCTTAAGAGCTTTCATCCGTATTTCATTTAGGTTAATTGGAATCCTAAGCTGGAAGCATTAAGAAAGCCAACGCCCAAACAAGCAATAATTGTTCGATGGCTCACAATGTCACAATTGCTCAAAAGTATTCTGTCGTCATATTCAGCTTTAACAAGTATTGTAAGTGAGAAGGGCGCCCTTCACACTCTTCCTACAATTGATGTGTCAACTGTAGCTACTAGTAATGGTTTATTCTTACCATGGAAAGAGGTGATCGAACGTTTACAAGCGACTAATACACCAACTCTCCAACTAGTAGTTACATCTTACTGGTATCTTCTCAAAAGTCTGGTAGTGACGAAGGATGAAGTAGCTGATAAAGCAGCCAAAGGTAAATCATTCTTAAAAAAACAAGTCAGTACAAATCTATCTTTTTTACAGGTGTTGTCTTTTTTAAAAGACGTGCACGACAATTATTAAAAGCAATGTTCTCTTTGCACGATCTACATTGCATCGCTGCAATACTCAATCCACATACAAGAATGCTCAAACATGCTACTTATGTTGAACGTGCACATGCATATTGTCTAGTGCGAGCTAGAGTAGCTAAACTTATGGAAATCGCACAGATTGATAATAATGAAGAAGTATTATCTCCAGCAACTATTAGTCCAACACCACCATCTCGCAAAAAGTTGAAGTCCTACACAACACAATTTCAGGATGACACAGATTTAGATGAAGCAAGTAGTAAAATGACAATTGCAAAACTTGCTCGTCGTAAATTAGAAATCTATTTACAACTGAATTTAACTAATTGTAAATGTTTAAATGATGATATTGACAATCCATTGTTGTTCTGGAAAGAACAAGAACATGTACTACCCAATATGTCATGATTAGCAAAACAAATTTTTTCTATTCCTGCCTTTTCAGCTGCAGTAGAACGTGCATTCAGTTCAGCCGGTATTGTCGTATCACAGAGAAGAACCAATATCAATCCATCTACAGTTAATGATATTATACTTATTCGATCGGCTGCAGCTTATTCGAAGACCCACACATAGACTCTACTTAAGTTTCTTTTTTGTAAAAAGTGATTATTTATAAAAGGAATGTATTATTAAAAATAAAGTATTTGGTAAATACAAAATTTCATCGGGTTACACGGGGATGGGGCGGTGCCCGTCGCAAAAATGGCGAGTCGGGCGGGTCTGTCCAAGAAGCTGACTGTGAGGAGTACGGGCGGAGCGGACATAGATTTGCCGAGGCACAGGCGAGGCAAGGATTCTCATAAAGAATATCCACAGCGTTCGGGCGTGACGGGTTTGTGAATTTTAAGGAGCGGCTCCCGTCGGGGCATGAAAAATCAATGCCCGCATATATCTGGTTTAAACTAAAAAGATTATATTAAGATAACTGGATAGTAAAGTTGGAAGTACCTACCTCTCAGTTCGCAAGATGTTAAAACTGCATCCTCAGTGAAACATTTGATAGAGTTATAGAGACAATTACCATTTGCAATGGCGTCAATCGGAATCATATTTTGAACATCTAAAGATGTGCGCTGAAGATATAATTTGGCTTCTTGGCATACCTTATGAATAACTGGGTTGAAATAAGTAATGGGTGCAAGTCTTATCAGTGTTAAAAGCCAGTCCATCTAAATTGCCAAAAGAGACCATATGACTATAAACTTTTTTTTCGAAAACTTACATCCCCGATTTGTCTACAAATAATCTTGATTCGATCATAATAGCCGTCGGCGGTGGATGCCTTGTCAAGTTCCATTCAAAGTGTCTTAAATATTTTTAAACGATTTGTTCTGCAACAATTTAAGCAGCAAGAAGGTGTTGTCAATTTAGAACAAAACAGACATCGATGGGTGTGAGGTTTAGATGTGGGTATGAGTGCGAGATGTGGGTGTGAGGTGTGAGTGTGAGGTGTGGGTATGAGATGTGGGTGTGGGTTTGGGTATTTGTGTGGATGCCCTCATCATGCAAAGACACCCACACCTGAAACGAATTCTCTACCTCAAGGTTGGGCTTTGCCCATACGTAAACCGAACACACATTTTTCAGATAAAAAGAGTGGATACCTCCAAAAAGAATTTTGATAAAGGTGTTTCCAGTTTGAAACATGGAAACCCCAAACAGATTGTGTTAAATATGGAGACCTTGAAAGAAAACTCGAAGTTATACTTTTCGATTATCGAAGTTTAAAATGAAAATCAAGTTTGCTCATTTTTCTATCAACTAAAACGCTAACGACAGGGGATTGCCACTCAAAATTTGTCAAGTAGTAAAATCATCATCGAAGAGAACCCCATCAAAAATACTATTGTTAGCGGCAAACCCTGGATCGTATTCTTCAGTATATTCTACCTTCTTCTATATCATTGTTTGTTTTCCTTTATTCTTTTATTCTTTTCTTCTCTTTGTTATTGAATTTATGTACGTGAAGGACATTTATATATATACGACGTTTTTCTTTAAATAAATATATCGATCGCTCGAGGAAAGGAGCTAACAATTTGGTGCCGTGACCCATCTTCTTCTATTTACTACATCGAAGAAGAACGAACTTATTAATTAATTTACTCATCCGTGACGGAAAGAGTGAAGTATCATCTCATCCTTCTAGGAAAGAGAAAATTAGATATTTACATACAAATTAATTTCAAAATTTAACTATCAAAAGAAGGTATATTTCTTCTATATAGAGTTCAAATTTTTTGTCCTTCCTTTTAAGTGCATATATATAGTTAACAACGGCTACCGGTACAAGAGGAGCGATTAAAAAAAGTGGAGCAAATCTTTTATCATATGAATTAATTACTAATTCACCAACACGAATACGGAATAAAAAACAAAACAATATGTCTTTTATGCAAGAAATGGAAACAACCTCAATGGAAACTCGACAACTTCATTCAAGTCAAAAAGAAGCAATGAAGAAAATAGCTGAATTTTCAGGAGAAGATAATGAACTTGATATTGATGAATGGTTATATGATTTAAATAATTTATTTTCATTAATGAAATTGAAAGATGACACAAGAATTCTTGAAACGATGGGCAAATTAACAGGACCAGCATTACGATGGTATCAAGACAATTTACGATTATTTACCAATTGGAGTGATGCTGAAAAAGCATTACGAGATCGATTTAAAGAATTTACATCAGACAGCCAATCAATACAAGAATTTTTTTATATTCATCAAGAAGCAAATCAATCTGTTATATCATTTTATGAAAATGTTATTCGAAAATACAGAAAGTTTCAGCAATTTATTACTGAACAACAAGTTATTACGGTATTACAGAATGGTGTTAAAAATTCATTAAAAGAACATTTAATTCGTAATGAAAGAGAAATAAAAAAACAGAAGAATGGTTGCAAGTCGCCAGAGAAGAAGAATATATACACAAACGACTTCAACAAAAAATTAATACTTCAAATTATGAACCAAAAAATCCACCATTTTTTGAACATGCATTACCAACAGCAACAATTCAACCAACATTAACAAACGTTTCTTCATTAAACCAACAACAGTATACACCACGTTATTATTATAAAAAACAACATCAACAACAATCAACAACAACAAATAATCGAACATATTCAAAACAAAATAATGATTTAACTCCTCAACAGAATCGGAAAAATTATCCAGGAAACCAAACACAACAATTAAATCCGTGTTTAATTTGCAACAAGAACAATCATACAACAACTAAATGCTTTTATAAGAAGAACAACGACTGCTTTAAATGTGGACAATCAAATCATAAAGTACGGGATTGTCCTAAACAATATTTTTTCGAATAAAGGGATCGGATGATGGCGACGATCCCTGTGGAGAAAAAACGTCATCAACTACAACATTTAATCCCATTTTTGTTAAAATTTTATGCAACAACACTCCACAAAAAGCACTCATCGATACCGGATCGGCCATCACTATTATACATCAACATTTATTAAATGATATACCACATGGAAAATTAGTACCAAAAACAATAAATCATTTATCTGCAAATTGCTCAACATTAAATTTTATTGGTGAAATACCTTTAGAAATAAATGTTAATGGAATAAAAACAACAATTATTGCTGATGTTACAACACATTTTGTTACAAATTTAATATTAGGAAGTGATTGGATTCAATCAAACAACGTTTATATTCTTACACCTGAACAACGAATTATGATCCGAAGCCAAGGTAAAGAAGTATGAACTCCTTTTGTTACACCACCTATCCTAAATTATCCAGCTACTCTTATTAATTATGTTACTCTTCCTCCCTTTTCAGAAAAAATAGTAGAAGCAAAAGTCCAACCTGACAATATGAATAATGTATTATTCGAACCACACCCTCGATTGAAAAACAAAGCATTATTTACTGCCAACGCATTACTCAACATTGAAAATAGAACAATAAAAATTAGTATAATTAATGCAACGCATCGACAACAAACGCTGTCCGAAGGAACCAACTTAGGTGTAGTGACACAATTATCTTTTACAATTGGTGTCATCGTATCATCAAATTATTTCACAGAACGCATTCCGGAAGGAAAAGCGTGGGAAAAGCTCATTCCTGGAGGGAAAGGAGCGAACAAGTCAATTAAATTAAATTTTAATGATATATCAACTACAACGTCACATAGAAAACAACATCAATGTCGTGAATGTCATCAACATTTTAATACTGGCAATGAATTATTTAAACATCTTAGAAATAAATGTTGCCCTGAAGAAATAAGACAACAAATAAACAAATTAACTGAACATATTAATGATGATAAACGACGAGAACCAATGTTAAAAATTTTATGGAAATATGGAAAATTATTTGACATTAGGAAACCATTAAAAATTGATATTGTTTTAAAAAATGCTATTGATACTGGTATACATCGACCCGTTCATACTCCACCATATAGAAAATCCAACAAAGACCAAGAAATCTTACGAAAAGAAACAGAAAAATTATTAAAAAATGGAATTATTGAACATTCAACATCACCATGGTCTTCACCAGTCGTTTTAGTAAAAAAGAAAGATGAAACAACAAGATTTTGTGTCGATTATCGTCGTTTGAATCAAATTACAACAAAAGACGCTTTTCCTTTACCAAGAATTGATGATATTTATGATCAATTAACAAAAGCAACATATTTTACAAAATTTGATTTCAAAGCAGGATATTTTCAAGTGCCATTAGACAAGGCAGATCGACCGAAAACAGCATTTTCAACCAGAGATGGACATTTTCAATTTAAAGTATTACCAGAAGGCCTTACTAATGGACCACCAACGTTCCAACGAATTGTTAATCAAATATTAGGTCTAAATAGATGGAAACATGTACTCGCCTATATCGATGATATTATTATTTATTCAAAAAATTTTTATGAACATTTAGAACATATCGAAGAAGTATGTTCATTATTACAAGAAGCAAATTTTAAACTAAATGTTGATAAATGTGAAGTTGCAAGAACAGAAATATTATTTCTTGGACACTTAATTAAATCTGGTACTATTAAACCTGATCCAAATAACATTCGTGGCTTGGCTGATACAAAAGAACCAACATCAGCTGAAGAAGCATTTAGATTCGTCAAAGCAGCAGAATATTATAGAAAATTTATTCTAAAATTTTCCACAATTGCTGCACCATTACATAAATATTCACCAGCAACACAACAACAAACGATTAATAAAAAAACAAAATTTGAATTATCTGCTGAAGCAAGAAAAGCATTTCACCAACTCAAGAAAATCTTAACAACCGATCTCATTCTTAATTTACCTGATGATACATTAACATTTAAATTACAAACGGATGCTTCAGTAGATGGAATTGGTGCTGTTTTATTACAACTTACTCCCAATGGTGATCGACCATTAGCGTATATGTCAAAGAAATTAACAAAAACACAAACCAATTGGCCAACAATTGAACAAGAATGTTATGCAATAGTACAAGCAATAGAAAAATGGGATAAATATCTTCGTGGACATGAATTTATATTAGAAACTGACCACGAACCATTAATTCATTTTACAAACAAAGAACAATTAAATAAAAGATGTGAACGATGGCGATTAAAATTAGCTGAATATCGGTTCAAAGTGAAGCATATCCAAGGCAAGAAAAATCATATGGCAGATTATCTTTCAAGATCACCAGTCGAAGTAGCTGAAGAAGATATTGAAGAACGAACGCAATATGAATCAATAGCAATACAAACAGATTTATCTTTTTTATCATTAAATAATAATTCAACTCCATTAAAAATGACAACAGCAATTACTAGAGCTCAAGCCAAATTACAACAACAAGCAATGGCAACACCATCTATTAAACTCACAGTTGAAAAAATTAATGAGCTCATCCCACGGGGGAAAGTAGCGACTGATGAAGAACTGATAATCAAACTATCAGATAAAAATTCAAATAAGATCATCCCATTTGACATGGATGATTTAAGAAAACTTCAAGAAGAAGACAAAACAACTCAACAAATTAAAAAGAATATTAAGAATAAAAAACACTATTTTATTGAAGATGAAATATTAATTAGAAAACAACAACTACCACTTCCACCAGTACCATACGTTCCAGTAGGACGAATACGTGCTGATATATTAAAAGTTTATCATGATACACCTGCTAATGGAGCTCATTTTGGACGTGAAAAAACAATAAGAAAAATACAAGAACGGTATTATTGGCCAACAATGACAGCAGATATAAAAAACAATTTAAATTCATGTTTACCATGTGCACAAAACAATTATCGTCGTCAAAAATTACCAGGAAAATTAAAGCCAATACCACCACCAGAAGGAATATGGAAATTACTAAGCATGGATTTTCATGGTCCAATAACTCCAACATCAAAAAAGGGAAACAGATACATTATATCTCTAACAGATGTATTATCAAAATTTGTTATCACAAAAGCTGTTCGAGATTGCTCAGCAACAACAACAGTGAAATTTCTTGTTAATGATGTTATATTAAAATATGGCACTCCAACATGCATATTAACCAATAATGGCACTCATTTTACTTCTCAAGTTATGAACAAATTATTTGAAAATATTGGAGTCACTCATCTTTATTCTACAGTATATCATCCACAAACTAATGGACAAATTGAACGATTTAATGCTACAATGGATGGAAAAATTGCCGCATTATGTAATGAACGACGAACAGATTGGG